ACTTGTAGATGTTGTAGCAGCTATTCTGGATTTTATGAAAGTAGTTGTTATCATTATTTTTATTACTATTACGGATATCTTTATCTTTGTCATTATCATTACTATTATTATCAGTAGTAGTATTATCATTATTATCATCGTCATTATCATTAAGATTTTTATCATTTTCAATATCATTATCATTATTATCTTATTATAATTATCATTATCATTATTATCATTTAAATTTTTATCTTTATTATCATTATCGTTATTATTATCATTATTGCAATTATTATCGCTTTCGTTATCATTATTACTATTGCTACGTCGGCTGCTACTTCTGTTATTAATATCACCAGTATAATCATTATTGATATCATTACCAACGTTATCATTGTTATCATTATTAGTATGAATATCATAATCATTATAATTATCATTGTTATCATTATTATTGTAATCATTATTGTATGATATCATAATCATTATAATTATCATTGTTATCATTATTATTGTAATCATTATTGTTATAATGATAATGATAATAATCATCATTATTGTCGTTATCATAATCGTTGTTGTTATTATAAGTATTAATATCATTATCATTATTGTTATTATTATTATCCTCATTATCATTACTATCATTATATCATCAGTAGTAGTATTTGTAATAGTAGTAGTAGTAATATTAGCTGTAGTAGAAGTGGCAGTAGTAGATATTGCATTCGTAGTAGTATAGTTGTAGTAGTAGCAGTAGTAGTTATCATAGCAGTAGTAGTAGTAATAGTATTATCCTTATCATCATTACAATCATTATATCATCAGTAGTATTATTTGTAGTAGTAGTAGCTGTAGTAGTAAGAGCCGTAGTAATTTGTTTAATAGTAGTAGTATAGTTGTAGTAGTATCAGTAGTAGTTATTATAGCAGTAGTGTGTAGTAGTAGTAGTAGTAGTAGTAGTAGTAGTAGTAGTAGTAGTAGTAGTAGTAGTAGTAGTAGTAGTAGTAGTAGTAGTAGTGAAAGGTAGAGTGGTGGTACTATTATTATTAGCATTGGTATAAATACAAAAAAAAAAACAATCTGCATACCGTGGGAAGAATAAGACAGAGCTGGCCACACGCGCACACACAAACAATACCACACACACACACACACACGCACACAAAAAATGAAAACCAAGAGAAAAGAAAGAAAACGGACAAACTACATTTCCCACTTTCTTTGATTCTCCGTAATCGTCCACAGGATCTCCCCCCCCCCCTTTCTTTTCTCTTCTCTTTTTTTATTATCAACCTTTCGGCCTCCTCTCTCCCACTCTCTCTCTCCCTCTTTCATCGCGAGTTATCTCTCCCCTAAATCGTTCGTTTTGTCCGGCCATTTAACCGCAGTTGACTTCACCACAAAGGCTTCAAAAAACACGCCTGCAGATAAACATCTTCAGTAGCCCTTCAACAGCCAGGCAAGGGGGAGGCTCGAGGACTCGTATGGCTTTGCTGTTGTTGTTTACCGCATGAAAAGAAGAATGGCACTGATACTACTATTGCTACTACTGCTACTACTATTACTACTACTGCTACTACTATTACTACTACTGC